ATGGGGCTAATGAGCCTTAACATAATCACAGCCTCCAATCTAGGAATTCTATGTAAGGACCAGTCTTATCAGAGATGAGGTCAGTATAAGATTTTCCCAGTATGGAGAGATGAAAGAACTGTTGAAGAGCAGGATGGATGGACGTGTGTAAAACAATGCTTCAAATAAGAGGGGAAAGAAAGCAAATGGGTCTGAACATATCCATCAATATTATTTGTATATCACTTATAGCTTTTAAGTAGTATCAGTATTAATAAAATACGTCTTAAGCTCTGTTGACTCATGGTCATGTAGAAATTAGAATACCTTAGTTTCCTAGGATTCTGTCAACCTTGAGATGTGGGTAGTCTGCCTGTTAACGAGAGTCCGTCTCTTTAAAGATCTACTTTTAGCAATATTCAGATATTTAGCAGTATCTGAAAACTGTCAAGCCTTGCTCGTTCAGTGTATAATTACTATGTGTGTTTTAAGGCACAGAACTTCCTCTTTTATATTAGAATTTGGGACGATGCTGATTCCTATTGAGGTTTGTGTTTGATTGTTTGAAAGACCGTCTAATACAGTGAAAAGATTACTTAATTTCTGTGCTTCATCAGTAGTCATTTGGCACCCTTTCCCTGTCTTTTCTTTTGTGGCTTAAGCATATCACTTTGAAGTCTGTTCAGTTATGTACCTTAAACAGAAGTAACATTTGTTTACAAATTCTCTTCAGCCCTCAAATCCTTTTTCCCGAAACAATACAAAAATGAATGTTTGCATAGCACCTTACCTTTTCATAAAAATATAAATATCATGATTAATATTCCTCATCTTCCCCAAATCCTCCCTAGCTGCCCACCATCATAAGCACATCCATATATTGAAGCCCTTCCACTCTGAAGCCCGACTTAACTAATGATATCCTGAAACAAAATAAGCTCTCTTAGCTAGTGACTCCTATAGTGCACTTTCCAAAAGTTTGAACCCTATCCTTAGGACAACATCTTAATGAAACCTTTCTCAAATGCTTCCAGCAAACTTTGAATTTATTTGGTAGCTTTTTGGATGCCAGAAAAAAATGTTAATTTGTATAAACTGTATCTACATACTTTCTTTCTGAAAGCTCTGGTCAGACTTATATTAGTGTTGATAGTACTAATAGAAACTTAATAGGTGATATACTGGCTGGGCACAGTGGCTCATGCCTGGAATCCCAGCACTTTGGGTGGCCAAAGCAGGTGGATCACTTTGTAATGTTGGGGCTTAGGGGAACCCTCAGTTTCCCCGAGAGGGCATTTCTCCAGGTTCTTGGTCTGTCCCTCCCCAAGAATGGGAGAGGAGACCATGGCACAGTGCGCAGTAAATGCCAGACTTCAAAAGTGTTTGGAAAGTGATTTATTTAGGTAGAGAGAGAGAAAGGAGGAGGAGAGAGAAACAGCTAGCTCTCACACTGAGAGAAAGAAAAGCCGCTCTCACACTGAGTGAGAAGGGTTCCCAGAGGGAAATCAGAGAAGGCAAACTCCCCTCACCCTGAGAGAGAGAATCCAGAAAGATGGAATCCAGAAGAAAGACAGGTTTCACACTGAGTGGAAGGAAATTGAGAGAGGGAGTTTAGGAGGGGGAAGACAGGCTTTGACTAGTGTGTGGAAGGGAGGACTCCAGAGGGGAAATCCAGGAGGGAGAAAGACCACTTCCACGAAGGGAGTGTTCATGGAAGGGGACCCTAGCATGGAGTCCAAAGGGGTGCGGAAGAAGGGAGCTTTTAACCTGGGAGGAACCCGCACTTTCTCCAAGACCTCTGGCCAATGAAAGGAATTCTTTAGAACTTCTGCTGGAGTGATCAACTTTTTGATTCTTCCCATGCTGCCCTGTGAAACTTAAAACAAAGACTGTTAAAATCTCTGGGATGGAGAGAGATGGGAAGGGGACATGGCACTGGGAAGTTCTTGCCCTTGAAACTACGCCCCCTAGTGGACCCGGTAAGAGAATACATTCCCTCAACTTGAGATCAGGAGTTTGAGACCAGCATAGGCAACACGGTGAAACCCCGTCTCTATTAAAAATAGAAAAATTAGCTGGGTGCGGTGGCAGGTGCCTGGAATGCCAGCTACTCGGGAGGCTGAGGCAGAAGAATCATTTGAACCAGAAGGCAGAGGTTGCAGTGAGCCAAGATTGCACCTTTACCCTCCAGCTTGGGTGAAAGAGCAAAAGACTGTCTCAAAAAAAAAAAATACGTGATATGCTAATATTTAGTAGCTCTTTGGATGCTAGGAAAAATGTTAATTTGTATAAACTATATCCACATCTGTGAAAACTCTTACAGATGACAACTTGTAATACACATTGTTCAATGTTCCCTTCTTAAGAGTGGGTTAGTCCCTAAAATGATTTTACATTCAAACTAATCCTCCTCAGTGTGCATTTCTTTAGAGGTATCATCAACTATTTGGTTGGTGCAAAAGTAATTGCGGTTCTTGCCATTAAAAGTAATGGTAACTCGGATAGTCTCTGGGCCTCATGCAATGTGGTAGACTAGAGCTTACCCTTGGTCTCATAGAATCTTATGCTGGGAAACTGTGGGCCCAGGGCCCCTATTCTTATACAGCTTTATTGGAACATATCATGCCCATTAATTTTCATGCTGTCTTTGCTTTTGCATTACACAGTGGGCAAAGAGTAAAATACTTACTTCAACCCCTTTAAGAAAAGTTTACCAGCCCCTGAAGTGAAGAAGATAGGCAAATCTCCATACCCTCAAAAGAGAGAACTTAGGACTTCAATAGTTTCTGTCTTAGAAGAAAGATTACAGGGAATCTATAGTTTCCTCACCTAAATATTCTTGCCCTTGACTGTGGGCAAGATAAAAGTCTTTGCACATTTTATCCAAATGTATACATGGATTTTATAAAAGGGATATACAGATATTAACAATTTTATGATTGCTTACTGTTTTAAAATACACTTAAATCCTAGTATTCGTGGGTGTGTAGCTGTGTTAGTGAACCATTAACTGAAATTTGGCTTTTGGTCTCTTAAAAATTGAAAGCATGTTGAAGTTGGTAGCCTTATTTTTAAAAGCTGTTAGATAGCTGGGAAGCTAGAAATTTAAGGTTTTTTTAAAAAGTTTTGTTTTCATTCCAGCTAAACCCACAGTTCAGCCCTCCCCTTCTACAACTTCCAAGACAGTTACTACATCAGGTAATTGAGGCTTTTTAGATTAACAGTGATGTAGGATGTGTGTATGATGTTGCCCTTCACAATTTCTACCATCATTTTCCAACTTAATTAATGGTTATGAAACTGAAATTCATCTCTTACATTTAGGGGGATCAAGGTAGTGCTTTGTTAACACAGTAATGATAGCTTTGCTGAGATTCCTCTTCTCATTTTTAAATGTGTGATCACATTTGACGTGACACTTCAGAATTAAGTAATGTTTTTTCAAAGTTTAGTACAGCTGTGTGTAAAATATAATTTGTAACTTCTGATTACTGTTAAGGATTGGTTGTGTGCTGTGTGAGAGCATAGTGATTTGAGGGAAGATAATACATCTGTCATTTTTACTGAGAAAGGTCTAAAAATCGAGGATCACTACCAGATGTGCACCTCACTTTCTTACCATTTCTTAGCATTGCTCAGTAATGTGAAAATTAGCTTGTTATTAAATGATTTGACATAATCTAATTTAAATCATATTTAGGTTATGCTACAGGACACTGTAGGGGGTACACAGGTTAGGAATCCTTTTGTCTGTCATTTTTAAAAAACTGATGCTAATGAATCTTCTACCTGCTTTTTGTGATTCTTTGGCTTCGTGCTTATGTATGCTGCCTTTTTCTCGGTTTCAGTGAAGCCATTCTGTCTTCATAAGAAGGAATACAAAACAGTTGTAATTAGTTTTAAAGTGGCCAACTTGCACAGCCACTAGAAACAGTGTTCTTTGATAATCTATTTAAGAGAAAAGTAAGAGTTATTTTAAATGGGAAATTGCTTTTTCTGTTTCCTCTTGAAACATTTTCTCCCTGAAAAATTCAGATTTTCGTTTTTTCCTTATGACTTGATAATACTTTCTCATAATGTTAAATTTTTGGCAGAGTAAGCCTTTAATTACAAGTTCCTTTGCTTGTTGAAATTATAAATTCCATATCCTCAAGATTATTTTTATAACATGAAAATTTGCAACCAAATTTTTGACCTTATACTAGTAAATTCAGAAGTCATATGAAGTTTCAGCACTAATACTGATATTTATACTTGCAATTAACTAGAAGTACATAGTCTGAAGAAATTATTGCATAATTTAGAAGTGTTTGGTATATTCCCAGGGCACAATTTATCTACCAGGAGAATTCCTCCCATTGTTTTTATATTTGTAGTAGTAGAGCAGCATTGACCACTTTGTATCCTTGGGTGGAATGAAAAATGGGATATATAATGGTTGTCGTCCTAAATTAGGGATAAATTCTAACTGTAAAGACTTGACTTGAGGAAATACTTTATAGAATTTAACACATGGCAAATAGAGACTCAGGTGGGTCTTGAAATTACAATAGAATACCATGAAACTTACTGAGGATTGTTGTTCCTTTTGTCTTACTAACAGGTACAACAAATACCACTGTGACTCCAACCTCACAACCTGTGCGAAAGTCTACCTTTGATGCAGCCAGTTTCATTGGAGGAATTGTCCTGGTCTTGGGTGTGCAGGCTGTAATTTTCTTTCTTTATAAGTTCTGCAAATCTAAAGAACGAAATTACCACACTCTGTAAACAGACCCGTTGAATTAATAAGGACTGGTGATTCATTAGTGTAACTCACTGAAACCAAAATACTATCTTTCAAGATGTCCCACATGAAAGACGCTATTCCAGGATCTTTAAATTTCCATGGATGCATATAGGATGTTTGGGAGCATCATCTTTGAAGAAAAAAAATCAAATCATTGTGTTCAACAGGAATATTTAAAATATTCTGCATGAATCCTTGTGGCCGTCTTTTATTTTAAATAGCTGCTGCTGTGGGTTTGTTTTTTTTTTTCCTTAACATGCCAAATGTAACTTTCTGTGAGTGATGGAAAAAATGTTGTCTTGTGCAGACAACAACATGACTCTTGGCAGTTTAAATTTAGTAATTTTGATTTCATGAACAGAATAGAGAAGAATGTGCCAAATGAGAATCAATTAGGTGGATTTTTGGGTATCATTTCAAAAGTGGAATAAATTTATAAATTTAGTAGTACCAAATGGTATCCTTAGAGTAAAATTTTGTGCTTGATAAGTTATTTTTTTTCTACATTAGAAATAAGATGCCACACAGGGAATTACATTCCAGATTTAAAGAAATGAATGGAAAGGATACCATTAGTGTGTAGCAGGTTGTTCATACGTGTAAAGCACCTTATGTCATTGAGAAAATAAAGAACAGTGCCTTAGAAGACAGTGAAAGGTAAGCTCTAGCTTAATGCCTATGATTTGTTCTTTCACATTAAGGAACATAAGGATTGGTCAGTGGATGTACCTTGATGTGAGCAGTAGTAAACCTGTTTTAGATATACTGTTAATATTTAATTGAAAATTTACTTTATTTCAGAGCAGAGAAACTTAAGCTACAGGCTCTTATACAAAATTGAAAGCCTTCCTGTATTGAACCTCTCAACATTTTTCTTTCGGCTGTTAAAAAGTATAGAGATAAATTGATTTAATTATACTTTCCTTTGTACTTTAAAAAGTATGCTAGCACTATTGTACCTTGAAAGGGTTTCCAGCAAACTTTCTTGAGAAGTGACTTTGGTGAGGTAAGAAGGAAATATATTATTTTAGAATCATTTACTATTTAAGTGAGACAATCATATTTTAGTATCATTTCCTATTTAAATGAGACAATCATTTTAAGTTTTAAGACAGCAGAAGTGACCGGTGTAATTTCAGAACACCTAAGGATTTTTTGGTTGATCCAGTTACGGTAGATATTTACTGATTGTCCTGGATGAATAAACTGTGCTTTTTCTTTTTCTCTCCTTTCCTTTCTTCTTGGTTTCCCATTGTGTAATAAGCATGCATACTTTTACTTCTCTAGTTTTCTCATTTAGAGGGGTCGTCTTCAGTTTTAGAGGATCACTTCTCCCTTGCCTTTGACTCATTGGACTAGTTCAGAGGCTTTAAGTAGTTTAAAATAGGCTTTTGCTTTTCTAGGTCATTAATGTTTTTTATTTAGTTTCTTTAGCCTGTAGTGGCTGAGTTTCACACTTGATTTTCAATATTTTATAGCAGGAAACGAAAACTTGCTTTGGTTCATTTCATAAACTGAAAGTCTGCATTTAGATAACTATTAAAGGTTAAGATGAAGATATACTGTTTCTTTGTTACTCGTTGGTACAGGTAAAGTTTGTTTTACTTGCACATTTGTATATATACCTAATGTTTTCAAGTGCCTTAATTGTTTAAAATCTCTGGCTTCAAAGTTTCTTGGGGAAAGGTAGGTTTACCTCACATTTTTTGTTTTCATTAGTAATATTCTAGGTACCTCACAAAATTTATTATGGTGCCATGGCTGTTAGTTTTTAGTGAGTGCTGTAGGATTAATTTGAAAATATGCAGAATTCCATTCCTCCCAAGGTGGCAAAAATTAGCTACAGTGATGTAATAATTGTTGTTTACCTGGGTAAGAATTCCCTGACACACATTAATGTCAACATATGTAGCAAATTTTGTGGAAATGTAATGATTGGAAGCTTCTGTAATTTTGAGCACCAACAACTAGCATAATATAAAATTAGATTTTGCAAGTCTACAGATGACCTCTTGCAACAGAACTCACAGCCTTTTTACTTTTTCCCCTAACTTTAGCAATGTAGTATCTTGAGCCATTAATAATTTTTGGGTTTTTAAAAAAATCCAGAAGGTATATAGAAACCTTTTCAGATTTTTCATCTGATTTGTCCTTGCAGATGTTCTATCAAATACCTTATTTTACCTTAGATACTTGTTGCACAGGCAGACACTGCTGTATTTAGACATTTTTATTTCAGTTCATTAAAAACTGCAAAACCAATCTGTATCATGTACCAAACTGATTTAAAATAAATCTACATGTTTATTGAATTAATCTCTTTTCTATTGAGTGGAGTGTGTTACTGCGTTTGGCTTATAAAATGTAATGTATAGTGGATTTATCTTAACAGTCTGCTTGGGGTGGGTTTTCTACTCAATTTGTATTGCTTCTCAAGACTCGCAGATAGTAACTAAGGCAAATATTTATATGTCAATAGAAAGCAGAGCCTTGGAAGTAATAGGTGGAGGGAGGACTTGGTACACCTATGGGAGTGATTTGCAAATTGATCTTCCACAAATCGATATTTATGAGAGGCATGCTATCTTGTTTTTACATATCTGAAAGCTAGTTTGTGACTTTCTGCCATTTTAGTTCATACTGTGTATCAAGTAAAAACCAAGCTACTGTTTGGTATAAATTACTATCAAGCTGCATGCTGTGACTGTAAAATGTGGTTCTTGTTATTCTGTTGGGCCAAATTATGTTCTAATTTAAATCACTGGACTTGGACTAAGAATATACTCCTCTATAAGCCTTAAAACCTGCAAGGGTAGACTGAATAATTTGCTTTAGAAAGAATGAATTTTGGGTTTTGTATTAGCCTTACATATAATCACGTTTAGTTTAAGTAATATGAAATTTGATGGTAATCTTAATGACTGCAGTAAACATTAGAAACAAACTTTTGAGATGGAAGTCTCACTCTGTAGCCCAGGCTGGAGTGCAGTGGCATGATCTCGGCTCACTGCAACATCCACCTCCCAGGTTCAAGTGATTCTCCTGCTTCAGCCTCCTACGTGGCTGGGATTACAGGTGCCTGCCACCGTGTCCAGCTAATTTTTATATTTTTTAGTAGAGCTGGGGTTTCACCATGTTGGCCAGGGTGATCTCGAACTTTGGACCTCAGGTGATCTGCCCTCCTTGGCCTCCCAAAGTGCTGGGATTACAGGCATGAGCCACAGAACCTGGCCTTGACCAGTGCTTCCAATGTGTTTTTGTCATTCCAGAATCCAATCTGATTTCATCCCAGCTGTAAGAAAAAGTTCCAGATAGGGTATTTAATCTATTATTTTTAAATTATTCAATTAATACATAGATTTTCTTAAATATACTTCTTAGAAAACAAATTGCATCCCCAGCCCTTTCCCCTTCTTGACTTCCTCCACTTACCAGAGTGGTAAGTGATACAGAGGGAACCACTGTAACTGATTTACAGTTAATGAATTTATAATCACTTAATTGTATGTACCTTTGGTAATACGTAATGTAGATTTTTATTTTATCATCATCCTGTAATGTTCACTCACTTTTTGGAGATCTTTCAAAGTTAGTGTATATGGCTACACCAGATTCTTAATTTCCATGTTGTTATATGTAGTATGGATACCATGATTTACGCAGGTATTTACCTGTTGAAAGGCAAGCTGTTTGCAGTTTTTAGTTCATACCAACAATTTTACAGAGCATGTTTGCACCTGCCACTCTATGTGTGACTTCCTCCAGAGTAGAAATGGAGGCGTGGAAAGCTGCTTCATAGTGTTTCCACACAAAGGATTTTCACAGATTACTTTCCACTTCCCACCAGCAGCAGATCACTTGATAGCTGAACAGTTTTTAAATTTTAATATTCTAGTGAGTGAAATTATTTCCTTGGTGAGTTGTCTATTTTTTTTGCTTATTTTGTAGGGGTTTTTGTTTTAATCTGAAAATACACTGGCTGCTAATCCATGGTGAATAGATTTTTAAAAATATTTTCTTCAAGTTTGCATCTCTGATAATGTTTCTGTGTCAACCAGAGTACAATCAGGAGACCGAAGCCACACAATATGAACCGGAAAAGTTTGATATGAAGAGATATTAGCTGTAACAGTGGATTGCAGTGATGAGGCATTATTATCTGCAGAATTTTAAGAAATTTGTGAAGCAGCAAAAAGAACTTTAAAGAATCCAGAGATAGACAGCAGATGTAGGAAGCAGCCACCACCCACTCTCCGTCAAGCTGAATTTCAGCCTCATGAGACAGCATGCAGTCTTGGCCCTCCAGGTGAAGCTCACAGTAGCTGTAAATCTGAGAGAGTGCCAGGGAAGCCACCCATGTTTGTCGCACCAATGGCAATCTTCTGGGAAGTCATCCTAGGTGGTGGGGGGGTAAGCCACGTATAGGAGGTACCACACTAGTGGCATTTCACTGTAAAGCTGTGAGTTGCTAGAGCGGGCACTGAGGGTGTCTACCTAGAGGAGCAAGCCAGAGCCAGGAAAAATCCCTCCAGCATCCTTCCAGTGCCCTTACAAAACAACATACTACTTCCCCGATACTGAGACCAGACCCCTCTGAGGAGGTGTTCTAATGTGGCTTAGTAGGACCAGGCTTGATTTCTAGCTTTGTGTGAGCTCCAAGTACTTTTTTCCTCTTAACCTTTCCTCTAGCTTTGTGTATAAGGAGAAATTGTCATATGGCCCAGCTTCATTATCACAGAGCAGGCAATGACAGATGGATTGGTGGCTGAAGCAAGAAATTGGTAATGGTCACAGTCCACCCCTTTGGCTATTCAGCTTCCACATTTGCTCTTCTCTACACTTTAACACTTCTAAGCAACAATGGAACAGCTCTACATTTCCACCTAACGATACAGCTATGCTTCCTTACAAGTGACATTTGCTCCCTTTCCCCAACACGAGAATCCCAGTACCAGCAGTCATTGTATCCATTGTTGGCTGTATGATTTATTCAAGTTCTGTCACTGTTCCACCAAATGCTCTGTTACCCAAAAGACCTAATTGTGGCCAGCGTGGTGGCTCATGTGTGTAATCCCAGCAGTTTGGGAGGTCAGGATGGATTGGCCTGCATGATATGTTGGTTTCATCTAAAGGTGGATAGCTAAAGCACTACAGCTCCACATGCAGACCAATTTGTCTCGGGCAGATCACTGAAGGTCAGGAGTTGGAGACCAGTCTGGCCAACATTGTGAAACCCTGTCTATTTCAGCTACTCAGGAGGCTGAGGCAGGAGAACCACTTGAACCTGGTAGGCAGAGGTTGCAGTGAGCTGAGATTACACCACTGCATTCCAGTCTGTCTCAAAAATAAAGTAAGTTTAACCTCCAAAAACGTGTATTAAGTTAAAATGGAAGAACATAAAAATGGTTAGGACAAATAAATACATACAAAAGGAAACTGGAAAATATTGAAAGCTACTATGGCCATCATTTCTATAAACCAAATAATGTACTGAGGTTATCAGTTACAGCAATTATAACCTCTGCACATTCCCCAGCTACACCACTTGCTCAGTCGGTCCATTGAGATTTCTTTTGCCCTTGGCCAGAACCTCAACTGGTCAGAGTTCTTTACCTGGTGGAGGGACCCAAATACTCATTACTGAAGAATCTGAGTCCTCCTGTGGTACCTGTTTTGGTTGTTGTAATTTTTCATAAGCCTTTACTATTGGATGTGAAGTACTCAGGCACCCAGAGAATCTCCTATGTTAAGAAATAGTCCCTTTTGCCTCCACTGTGCACTAGCAATACACTCTCACTTTGGTAATCAGGATTGATCATTCACGCCAGTATAGTTACGCATTTTGTTGCTTACTGGTTCAGTGGCATCAGAAACCGAGGGCAATGTCATCTTAGATCCTACATCAGTGGAACCATTGTTATGTCTCTGATTGAAGGATCCCCTGGGAGCTAAGACCACCAAACCAGCAAGCTTGAGATTGCTAGAGTGAGAAGTACAATCATGAAAGGAGCCATTCCCACTTCTACCCTGTGATTTCTAGAACTGTATACTCTGACTCAAAGCATGTACTGTCATCGAACTCCATCCTTTCAGTGTAGTATCTCCCAACTATCAACTGAGTATTGAGTGAACCATTCCACCTTTCAATCAGATTAACCACTTATGGGTGTTACGGTATGTTAATTTCATAGGCATGAGCTCATTGCAGCATTTCATTTGCTGTGAAATTGATTCCATGCTTAGAAGCAATGCTATGGGAAATGCCATGATGGTAGACCAGGCATTTTGTGAGTATATGGATTGGTTAGTGGTACTAGCAGAAGAATTATGCACAGGGAAGGCAATCCATATCCAGAATATGTGTCTATTCCAGTGAAGATGAATCTCTGTCCCCTACATGATGGGAAAGGTCTGATATAGTCAACCTGCCATCAGGTAGATGGCCATTAGCCATGGAATTGGTGCCATATTGCAGCCTCAATATTGGTCTTGGCTCTTGACAGATTGGACAGTTGGCAGTAATGCCTGTCAGCCTTGGTAAGGGGAAGCCCATGATGTTGAACCCACACATAGCCTCTATCCTTGCAGCTGTGGCTGCATTATTTATGGACCCACTGAGCAAGTGGTGTAGTAGCTGGGGAATGTGCACTGAGTTTATAATTAATGTAACCGATAACCTCAGCACATTATTTTGTCAACTTGATTAATAAGAGCTTCCTCTGCTATGGATGCCCTTTGTTGGGTGTATTAGTCTGTTTTTATACTGCCAATAAAGACATACCTGAAACACTGCACTTTACAAAAGAAAGAGGTTTAACGGACTTAACAGTCGTTCCACATGGCTGGGGAGGCCTCACAATCATCGTGGAAGGCAAGGAAGAGCCAGTCATGTCTTAACATGGATGGCAGCAGGCAAAGAGAGAGCTTGTGCAGAGAAACTCCCATTTTTAAAACCATCAGATCTCATGAGACTTATTATCACAAAAACAGTGCAGGAAAGACTCAACCCCATTGTTCAGTCATCTCCCACTGGCTCCTTCCTCCAATACGTGGGAATTATGGGAGCTACAAGATGAGATTTGGGTGGGAACGCAGAGCCAAACCATATCAGTGGGCATTAACCTGAGACAAATATCTTCAGCCTGTACCCATTCCCAGAGGTCCATCCACAGATAATTCCTAGACTTCCTTGTCACCAGCCTTACAGGCCTGTGTCTTCCAACTCCCTATCTAGCCAAGCCATCAGCAACTACCCATGAATTCGTGTGGATCTGTACTTCTGGCCTTCTCTAAGTTCAGACATAGTAGCCAACCAAAGATACTACTTGAAGTTCTGTTCACTGGGAGGATTTTTTTTTTTTTTTTTGACCACTGCCCTGAGGGGTTGCCACCAACATACGCAGACCAATCTGTAAACTAGACTTGATTTTTTTTTTCTTTCTTGGCCAGTTGGTTGTTAGAACCACCCCCAGGAGACCATGGGTATGGGTTGAGGGAGAGAAGGCAATGAAACAGGAGTTGGTGTTGAAAGAGTCTGAGCCACCTGTTCAAGCAAGCTATGCTTCTCCCTTCAGACCTGCTAAGGCAAGCTAAGTCTGTGTGACTAGGCTAGCTAACAACATCCACATTATGATGGAAAGCTTAGGCCACATGATCCTCTGCTATCCCATGGTTAGGTATTCAGTCTCTACTAAGGCACAGCAGTAAGACAGAAACTGTTTCTTAAAAGGAGAGTAGCAATCTTTAAAAGACATAGGTTTGCTTCCCCGTGATTCTACTACTGGTGCTTGATGGGGGCTCCACACAATATTCCTATAGGCCATGATACTTTCAGTATCATTGGATCTGCTGGATCATAAGACCCACATGGTAGAGCAGCTTGTGCTATAACTCAAACTTAGTATAGAGCCTTCCTTGCTCTGGTCCCCACTCAAAAAACGATAATCTTATGAGTGACTCTAGATGGGTCGAGGTAGCACACTCAAAGTATATGTTGCCTTCAAAATTCAAAATGACCTACCAAGCATCCTGTCTCTTTAATCATGGTGCATAGTGTGAAGTGCAGCAACTTATTTTTCATTTTGGATATGGATATTTTAACTTGTTCCAAATCATTGAACCCCTAGAAACTTCACTGAGTTTCTGAATTACGGGATTTTTTTCTTTCACCTTCTAGTTTTTATGTTTTATTAAGCACCTAAGTACTTGCCACTTCTTGCTCATTATTTCCAGTCAGCATAATGTTATCAATATAGTGGACCAATGTGATATTGTGTGGAATATCATGATGAACAAGGTCGCTGTGGACTGTATCATAGCAGAGAGAAGGAGAACTGACAAAGCTTTGAGGCAAGACTATCAAGATATACTGTGGCTTTGCCAGGTAAAAGCAAACTGCTTCTCACGGTGCAAAAGGCTTTACGTTAATGACTGCCTGCCAAGTGCCAGGAGCGTATTAATTTATTTCAGTAAAGATAAGTCTGTGACAGCAGCTACAATTGGAATCACTACCTCATTAAGATGTGGACCTGATACTCCCTAGTTATTTTCTAAGATCTGTCTTTTGCACAGGCCAAAGTGGTGAGTTAAATGACAAAGGGATGAGTATCATCACCCTTGCTGCTTTCAAGTCTTTGATGGTGGCATTAATGCCCAGGGCCATTTCTCCAGGGTTGTGGAATTGCTTCTGGTTCGCTCTTTTGATAGGGAAAGTTCCAGGGGCTTCCAATGATCCCTTCCTACCGTAATTGATTCTCAACTCATGTGTCAAAAACACCAATATGGAAATTCTTCATATTGTTAATTTTATTTATTCTAATTATTCACTCAGGAACTGGGGAAGTAGTCACAGGGTGGGTCCATGTACCAATTTGGTCCACTGTAATTCAGACCTGAGCTATGATTCCTTCTGTCACCTGACTACTGTAAGCCTTCATTTTGACTAGTAAGCCACAGTGGTGTTTTGGGTACCCAAGAATTAGCATTAATTTAGGCCCTGGGTCTAGTAACCACCAAAATCTCTGGGTACTTTCTTTTATCTGAAGAACAGCAATTTAAGAAAATGATTGCAGGTCCCTTAGGGAATGGTTAGGACGAAGATTTATAACATGAACCTGCAGCAGTGTAGGGTCCTTCCTCAAAGACATCCAGCCTCCCCATCAGTCAAGGACCTCTGGTCTGTGAATTGACCTAAATCTGGAATCTGGGTCAGAGGCTGTGACTCTCCACTATGGTGACTCAAGTTTTGGCTACTAGACCTAAAGATTTTTCTGTTACATACACAAAGCAATTCTCTATGATTTCATATGATTCCATACCTGGGGACACATTAACTACCAAAGATCTCTGCAGGCCAAGGAATTCTGACCACTTATACAACCCTATTGCCCTTTATAATGGATGTGCCCACCTTGTCTTTTGCCAGTTAAAGCCTGCCAACCTGGCTTTTCCACTTTGGAATTGCATTTTCTTCATTGAAATCACAGGGCCCATCTCAGTGGCAATGAGAAACTTGATGAGCTTGTAAATCCAACTATCATTGTAATTTAGCATGCCCATAATACAAATTTGTGCTTGATTTTTAGCAGTATCATCCCTGTGACTATGAGAAGGGAAGAGATACTTTTAGGGCTATCATGGAAGCTCTCTAGTTTTCAGACCATGACTTAAGCCCAGAATTAAAGGTCATAAGCTTGTCATTTTCTTCCTTTAAGTGCTGATGTGCATTCAGAAAAATCCACCTCACACCACAGTCTCTATAGTCAACATGACTGCCATGAGAGTCAATGTACTAACAATTTATAGGCTTCTAAAGGCACATGCTTCATCAGGTACTTTAGCACAATCTACCACAGGTAATCCATTAATCCATGAATAGATCAATCCATTCATAAGGACACAGTCCTTATGACCCAATCACCTCTTAAAGGTCTTACCTTTCAGTACTGCCACATTGGGGATTAAATTTTAACCTGAATTTTGGAGAAGACAAAACATCCAAACCATAGCAGGTCTATCCTCTGGGAACACCCCACTCCTGGAACAAGTTCTGTATCAGTCATGGGCCAATCAAGAGACAGAAAGCACACAGTAATTCAAATAGGGAAAGTTTGATTTAAAGAATTAACTATAAAAAAGGACTGGCATATTGCTTATAAGCAATAAAGAGAACTCTAAAGAATACAAGGATAGCAGATATAGGAACCAGACACTACCCTTCAGGGCTGAGATCCAGACCTCATTGGAGAGGATCTGCCCAAAGCTTATTAAATGGTTGGGAAGTTCACTGAGACTGCAAAACCACTCAAAGGGGTGCTGGAGGGGCCCCTTCACAGGAGGTGCCACACAAGTAGCACTCCACCATGTAGCTTGCAGGAATTCAAATCAATGCTTAGGTTTTAAAGTCTAGGACCAACCCATTACTTCACCTGGGACACTCAAGATGTAATCATCTCAATCCTTCAACACTATCTTCCAAGTACAGATAAGAAAAATTCATAAAATACGAGGTATACTGGCTTTTAGAGTTATTTTTATTCATTCAAGTACTCGTAGAAATAAAGGTTGGAAAAAGAAGATATGATCACCAGTCAGCTCTAAATGGGAATCTGGATGGAGCTGTTTGGACCTGAAAAGCTGTCAGGTGAATATTTTCTGCCATATTAGGTAGGAAAACATCATCAATCCTTTGTGTTTAATAAGTACCTGTAATTGGTGTTTGTTAAGAACATGGTGAGTAATTCTTGTTATAGCATCATAAAAATTCATTGTTATTGAGACCGAGATCATTGATTCAGTCTGGGTTAGGCCATGTAGCATGCCTTCTTGTACATATTTTGCTGCTTGTCCTATAGGGAATTGGTCAAGAATGAATGGAAAGCATCAATGGAAAGCCATTTCCAGTTAAGGAAGAAAACATAGCTCATATTTCAAGTAAGCTAAAAATTTCTTAATTTTTTATTTTTGTTAGTACAGGGCTAATTTTTAGAAAATTAACTGTATCCTTACATTTCAGCCATGTATAAATTCCTCTTCAATCAGTATTTATCTGACTTGTCTCATAGGCCTTGCTTAAGAAGTCAGAACTGAGATCTAAAGAAGTTCCAGCTAACTGTGTACCTTCCCTGGCCTTGAGGTTTTTTGCTTGGGGTCCCCATATTGTGCATAGCCACTGGGCCAATGGGCCCACAAGACACTTCACTATAGGGTTTATTTATTTAGTAGGGCAATGTACATCAAACAATTAGCCTTAGACCATCATCCTTCTAAATCTCTCAAATATAATAAATTGTCACTAATGCACTTAGCAGTTTAGCAGCCTTTTCAACAAGTTGTGATCACCAACACTCCCATGATGCTTGCAGCTTTCAGTGTGAAATGGAGATAAAGTGATTCTTGAAAGCCCTTGTGGTCTCACACATACAAAGTGAACTTTGCTTCTTTTTGGAAAAGGCTTTTGCAGAAACATAGACACATAATAAAAGTTCACATTTTCGAGAAAGATGACTGCACAGAGATTGGTGAGTAAAGCAAATGGTGGACATTAGTAATGTGGCCCTCACTTGGTCAAGATGGTGTTTAGGTATCTTCCCAAACTGTCTTTCCCCCTTCGTAACTGCATGTTTAGAAATCTGGAAACTCTTAGTCCTTATAACTAGGCCATCAGCTGCAGAATTACACCGTCAAATGATTTCTTGGAATGGCATATTTTCCTCTGAAGGAATGATTAAATCTCTTCCTCCTAATTTTTCTTTAGGTAATGGGGAGGAATTCTTAAATGTATTGATTAGATACATGAATCTCTATAAGGGATTCTGAAAGAAAATGGAGCAAAGAGTAAAATACTTACTAAAGCAGTAGAGAGAAGGCAGTGGAAGAGGAAGTATATGTTGTTTTATATAAACTAAAAACAAATATTTTATAAGTGTTTCAAATATATGCTAATCTGAACCCTAAGAATTTTTCTGGAGGCTACATTTCTCACTTGTTTTAAAATGACTTCTGAAACTATTTCTGCTCTGTTGGGGAACTCAGATAAGGAGTCTGATGCTGCTTGTTAATTGTTGAAGATGACTGGGAAAAAAAAAATTCAAAGATGGAGCACAGCAAGGTGTTAGTACTGATTCCACACCCATTTATTGACTTGTAATTTAGAAGGTGCTAGTACAGAGCTTAATTATTTCAACATCAGAATTTTCTTATCCAGATTTAAGGCACCTAGATAAGCTCCTGATATATAATTTTTTCTAATGTAAGTCTGAAGTGACCCAAAAACCATAACATCAAATTGAAAGGCTTTATTGTTTAATGCATGTAACCAACCTTATCATTACTTACAGTCTGTGGCCTTTGAATCTGTCCTGTTATTTTACTGCCTGTGAGATTAGTCTTTAAAAAGTGTTGCTGGGAGTATCTGGATGATGTGGAAGCAGAACTTAGGGAGTATTGAGCCTGGGACATAAGGCCTCTAAAGTTAAAAATGTGAAATTATATATCTGGTTGCAATGGATAAGCCTAGATTATTTTGATTTTTGATTTTTTTTTTTGAGAGAGGATCTCACTCTGCTGCCCAGGCTGGAGTGCAGCAGCACCATCATAGTTCACTGTAACCTCAAACTCCTGAATCTAGACTTAATTCATAAAATTTAGAGCTTAAAATTGGCATTTAACTCAGCTTAATCAATTTTTTCTTTTCAGCTTCATTAATTTTGAGCAAATATGTCAAAACCTAGAGAGAGTTTTTTGCCTGATAGTCACACAACCAAGTATAAGAGAAGGAGAGACTCGGACTGTGGTAGGTAGAAGTGGATGGACTGAGAGCTATTCAAATTAACTGGATTTGCAGGGTGACAAAGAATAGCTCCCACATTTCTGGCGTAAGCAACTGGATATTTGGCACTACCATTTGCTGAGACAGCATCACCCCAACCCCAAAAGTAGTCAAGAAGGGAAGAGGATAGGAAGATTTCCATTTGACCCATTGAATTTGTGAGCCTGAGACACATGAATGCAGACATTATTCAGTGGATATATGGGCCATTGGATATGTGGGTCTACAGCTCAGAGGAGAGTTTTGAGCTGCAGATGTAGACCTGGCAAACAATGATTAAAGCTGTGGGAACATATGCAATTATCCAGAAAATGTGAGGTGAGAGAAGGGGCCAGAAAGATCCCTGAACAACTTCAATGTTTACAGGTTAGATACAGTAGGAGGAACTGGAAAAGGAGACAGAAAAAGCAGCCAGAGAAAGAGGAGAGAAACCACTAGGAGCAGTGCCAGGGAAATAATTAGAAGGGTGTGGTCAGCTGTTTCAAATGCTGCTGAGACATGAAATCAGTGAGAACTCAGCAGTGTCCTTTGGACTTGGTGACAGAAGTCAAGGTGAGCTTGGCAAGAGCAATTGCAATGAAATGGTGGTGAGAAAAATCAGATTGCTGGTGGTGTGGTAGAGACCTATACTTGGCCCTCATTTGCAAATCTTCCCTCTCTTCTTAGAAATAGACCTCACATGTTTTGTTCCACAGTGTCCTAGAATAAAAACTACATTTCCCAGTCTCCTTTGTGCAGTCTTGGAGCTAAGTGCTGGCTAATGGGATATATGCAGAAATGTCATAAGTGACTTGGAGGAAGCATTCTTCAAGCTTCAAGGGAGGGGTGGGCCCTTCTTATTGCCTTCCTCCTTCCTGTTGTCCAGAAAGCTTAAGTGGCCATCTTGGACCATGAGGTGATGAGCAGCATTTGAAAGCCACAAGTTGAGAATGGCAAACCTGAGAGAAATTAAGTGAAGTGAATCACAAAAGTGACTATAGGCAGCTCTTTTAAGAAGTTTGACTGGGAAGAGAAAGGCCAGTGGCAGGGAAGGAATATGTGGATTTTATGATCCTGGCACATACATGATCAATAAGTAATTGTTGGTTCCAGGATTAGAGGGATGCATGGACGAGAAATACCAGTATGTAAAAAAGAAGCAGATAGTTCAAGGCCCCTGAGAAGGTAGCAGCAGATGGGCCCTTTACATAGGATTGGCCTGGGGAAGAAGAGGGGCACCCTTTCCATGTTCACAGGAGGGAAGGAGAAGCAGCAGAGTACAGATGTAGGTGGGCTGGGAGACAGGGAGAAGATGTGTTCCTGTCCGAGGGTTTCTAATTTCTCTGTGAAGTGGGAGATGAAAGGATGAGGGGTTGTGGGGGAATGTATGAAGGTCTGAGGAGACAAGGCGAATTTAAAACAGTTGGCTGGCCAGGTGCAGTGGCTCACACCTGTAATCCCAGCACTTTGGGAGGCCGAGGCAGGCGGATCACAAGGTCAGGAGATTGAAACCATCCTGGCCAACATGGTGAAACCCTGTTTCTACTAAAAAAACAGAAAAATTAGCTGGGCCTGGTGGTGGGCACCTGTAATCCCTGCTACTGGGGAGGCTGAGGTGGGAGAATCACTTGAACCCCAGAGGCAGAGGTTGCAGTGAGCCAAGTTCATGCCATTGCACACCAGCCTGAACAACAAAGTGAGACTCCATCTCAAAAGAAACAAACATACAAACAAAAACAGTTACTGCAGAGAGCGGGAGAGAGCGAGCTGACTCAACCCTTAGCTCCAGTGGAGGAACAGGTGAGCTGGCCCTAAGCCAACCAGGCACAGGCATCTTAGTCTGCGGCTCCAGTGATTTGTTCAAAATTGGCAGCATGACCCAAGTCAGTCCAGGCAGAGCCCAGTTCTTTTTAACTGTCCCATCTCCACCCCGTTCCTGCCATGCTGAGCGTGAACAGAGGTGGAAGCTACAGAGGTGGCTGTCATCTTGCTTCCCAAGGGCCCCACTTCCTTTCTGCTCCCAGCCTCCTCAGACCCAGAGATGGAGAGAGTGAAACCAGTCCTCATGAAGTAGTTCAAACCTTGAGGAAGCTGCCTTTAGCCAGCCCACCTCTGAACATTTTACAGTTTTATGAGCCAAGTGGTTTCATCTTTTCCTTAAGCATTTCTAAAATAATTGCTTTAGAAAAAAATTGTCATTTCTCAGGAGTTGCAAGATCCTAGGTAAATAAAGAGAGCTTGCCCCTGAGTGCACCTGTGTTTCTGACCTGGGAGGCAGGGATGCTGCAGAAGACATCTGGGTCACTTTGAGACTCCAGCTGGACAACAGTGGAGGAAGGAGGAGTGGGAATATGGCTTTTACTGCTTAGCATTAACAGTGTGGATGATAGCTGGCTGTGCCCTCAAACCCCTCCTCTTTCTGTACAGGGGAACAGAAGGGGACTGAAGCCCAGGAGTAACCTCTACTTCCTGAGAAAGAAGCTTCCTTCCCACTCCTGCCCCCACCCCAATCCTGGGAATTGGGTCTCCCCCACCTGCCTCGTGCCTCCCTCTAGTTCTCCTTCTCAATGGGCAGGTGTTGGAGGACATGGATGGCAGTTCACTAGGATGCATTAACGCAGGAAGGGATTAGAAAGATCCTTGGCTAGGCTGCAGGCAGAGGGGAAAGGGAAAGAAGAAAAAAATCCCCCAGCACATGGAGAAGGCAGTGTAAGGTACAGAACTGCATAGGGTCAGGGTCAAAGTAGGGCCCTTGGGTGCTCTTGATGCTCTTTGTGTTGGGGCTGGAGCAGCAGAGGACACCAGCTCCCAATGTCAGGTCCTGACAGCAACCCAAAGGCAGGGAGAAGGGCTCTGTGAACCTTACTGCAAAGCCCAGCTCTGTTCTTAGTAAACCCAAAGTAACTTGATCTGTGACTTTGTGCTTCTGAAAGGCTGTGTTCTCTCAGCTCATTCATGCTGGAAAGTAGCCAAAAGGAAACTCAGATAAAGGCTTAAACACATGTATGCAAGTACAGTAACCAACACTTACACAATTACTAAGTGCCACTATACTACGTTTCAGACGGGTTATTCATTTACTCTCAGAGCAAGCCTTTGAGGTGAGTACTCCCATTTTACAGAGAGGTTAATTAACCTGTCTAAGGTCACACGGCTAGCAGTGACAGAGCCAGGGCCTGAATTCTGGCTGTTTCACTCCAAAGCCCACATACTCAACTACCAGACTATGTGCAGAACAGGAAAGAAGAGAAGTGGCCAGTCATAATAGGCCAATCATGGTTTAGTGATATTTGGTGATATTTCTGATAGTCAGATCTAGAAGAGAACTTAGAATGTATTTAGTCCATCTTAAAAAGGAGGAAGCTGGTTTAGAGACATCCTGGGATCTCAGCTCCATGCTGCCTGTTGACTGCACTGCTCAAAGAACTATGTTGACTGTTATTTTCAAGGACACCCCAAACCCCCAGCACCCAAGAATCATAATGTACTTTATGAATGACTGAGAAATGGGGTCACTGGTATCCCGAAGCATTAAGATGTCTCAAAATCCCATGAACTGGTCCGGGACCAGTTGTTTGTTTTCTGAGACAGTCTTGCTCTGTTGCCAGGCTGGAGTGCAGTGCACAGTCTCGGCTCACTGCAACCTCCATCTCCTGGGTTCAAGTGAATCAAGTGATTCTCCTGCCTCAGCCTCCTGAGTAGCTGGAATTACAGGCATGTGCAACCACACCCAGCTAATTTTTGTATTTATAGTAAAAATGGGGTTTCATCATGTTGGCCAGGATGGTCTAGATCTCCTAAACTTGTGATCCACCCACCTCAGTCTCCCAAAGTGCTGGGATTACAGGCATGAGCCACCACGCCTGTCTGGGACCAATTTTTTATTACTAAAACCATTTAGTATTGGATGTCAGTACTCCAAGGTACTAAAGTAGGACGTTTTGACTGTAAATCAGAATTAAGATTTATTCATTCATGTGTCATTCAACAAACACTATGGAGAATCCACTCAATAACTATCCAGTGTTATTTGATTCCCTGAGACCCTCTTCAATTCAGACCCCAGAGACTGGGAGGGTTTTCTAGCCAGAACGGGGGGTAACCTTACCGCCTGGTGAGCCCGTGGGGACAGCTGAGTGTTGGGCATCATGAAGCTGACTCTGCAGCTCCTCTATACACTGGAGAGCATCCAGCTTCATGCTGCTCTCCTTGGCAAGCCGGGCTCTCATCTGAGGGGAAAATGAGAAGCAGAGATGCTTTGTGCTCACTTTCATTTCCTCAGTTCACAGGGGAGAATGAGGGTTCTAGGTTACTCTGAAAAGAGAATCAGCTCTTCAAGTCCTGGTTAGGCTAAACTCAGCCTTCTGAGAATCAAGAGCTTCAGGAAGACGAAGAACTTAACCAGAAAGGAACAAAGGCAGTCCGTGGAATCCCTTATACCTTATAATAGCTAGGAGCTTATTCACAAGGTTATATCTTTCATGTTTATTTCATCAGATGGGTAGAGGAAGAGGGGAGTGAGGGCCCAGGGCACATAAGACCCTGGAGGCCCAGTCATGCCATCTACATTGAGGACCTGTCAGAGCCCCTGGACAGTTTCAAGTGGAGGAAAGACTTGATCTCTCTCCTAGATCTCTGCTCTCAGCTCAGCATCTGCTGGGAATGCCCTGCCCACCTCCAGAAGCAACCTTTGTATTTCCTTGTGTGGCTCTCCCTGTGCACAGCCAGCCCACACTCCCCAGCCAGACAGGGCCCGAGTCCAAAGTGCATATCATCTGCACAGATCACAGGTGGTTTTGCTTTTTCCATTTATCATCTCCTCATTATTTTTACTTGTAGAAAAGTAATACATACTATAGTTTGAAGAGGACCCCCCAAATTTCATGTCCACCTGGAACCTCAGAATGTGACCTTATCTGGAAACAGGGTCTTTGCAGATGGACTTGTTAGGATGAGGTCATACTGGATTTAGAGTGAGCCCTGAACCTACTGACTGTTGTCCTTATAAGAAGATAGGATAAGGATACAGACACTCAGAGGAGCACAGAGGAAGAAGGCTCTGTGATGACAGAGGCAGGATTGGAGTGAGGTAACTACAAGCCAAGGAATGCCAGGACCAAATGTGACTCAGAATAGACATGGAACAGATTCTTCCCCAAAGCCTCTAAAAGGAGCCAGCTTGCTAGCACATCCGTTTCAGACTTCTGGCCTCCCGAGCTGTGAAGGAATGTGTTTTTATTCTAGTAAGCCACCCAGTTTGTGGTGGTTTATTAAGGCAGCCCTAGGAAATGAATACGTGTGCTAATCTCAAGCATTCAGCCACGTGTGTTGTACATCCCACTCCGCCTGTACAGACCCAGCCAGAAGGCCCCCACATAGGCTTGCCCTAAACATTAAAATGGGCTCTTCCTTATGTCCAGGGGCTCCCAAGCATAGTTTAAATTTCAGATTACCAGAGCTCCAGAGTTAGGAAAACGTCCTAATATAAACTAGGTCCAAAGTCCCTCTCCAGGCTACAGGGATTTGTGTAGGATCCTCACTCCCTGTGAGCAGGCACCAAGAAAACATGTCAAAATTTCCTGAGCCAGGCTGGCACTAGGAAACCCGAGAAATACCAGCAAGGAAGCACGCTTCCTCAGGACCTCCTTGTCACTCACCCCCACGTCCCAGAGTCTGATGCAGTGACTTGCCCAAGGCCACACAGCCAGGATTTGAGTCCAGGTCTATCTACCTGTTTCCAAGGCTGTCCACCTTCACATTTCCAGCAAAAATATAAACAGCCAACATTTACGGAGAGCTATGTACTACACACTGGTTTTGCTGTTAAGACAAGGTCTCATTCTGTCATCCAGGCTGGAGTGCAGTGGCCCAATCTTGGCTCACTACAACCAGGTTCAAGTGATCCTCCCACCTCAGCCCTCCAAGTGGCTGGGACCACAGACACACACCACCACCCTGCCTAATTTTTGTATTTTTTGTAGAAACTGGGTTTTGCCATGTTGCCCAAAGAATCCTCCCACTTCAGCTTTCCAAAATGCTGGGATTACAGGAGTGAGCCACTGCACCTGGCCTGTTTATTTTCGTTAATTTTTTTTTTAATTAAAAAAAATTTTTTTAGAGACAGGGTCTTACTCTTTCAAGTACAGTGGTATAATCTCAGTTCACTGCAGCCTTGAACTCCTGAGCTCAAGCGATCCCCCTGCCTTAGCCTTCCAAGTATCTGGGACTACAGGCACACACTGCCATGCCTGTTTTAGGCATGGTTTTAAGGGCTTCATTTGAATTAGCTAATTTCTTATTTAATTATCCCTCAAATCCAATGAAGTGAGTTCATTATTTCCATTGTACTGATGAAGAAACCAAGGCACAGAAAGACCACAGATCTTGCCTGAAGCCACGTAGCTGGAGGACTGGGGGAATGAGCCACTCAGTTCCCCTCCAGGGCCTGTGCTCTAAAGCAGTGGTCCCCAACCTTTTTGGCACCAGGTACCAGTTTCATAGAAGACAATTTTTCCACGGAGGTGGGGGTGAACAGTTTTAGGATGAAGCTGTTCCACCTCAGATCATCAGGTATGAGCTAGATTCTCATAAGGAGCAGGCAACCTGGATCCCTCACAGCTGCAGTTCACAATAGGGTTTGTGCTCCTATGAGAATCTAATGCCTCGGCTGCTCTGACAGGAGACAGAGCTCAGGCAGTTATGCTGTCACTGGCTGCTCATCTACTGCTGTGAGGCCCAGTTTCTAACAGGCTATGGACCCCTACCTGTCCACAGCCAGGGGTTGGAGACCCCTGCTCTAAGTGACCTCAAACAGGTACAGGCAACAGGCTAGGACACTGAGGCTCTCTGAGGTCAGACAGTGAATATCTGGAGTCAGAGGCTGATGATGGATTAAAGAAGCCTCTCCTGGCTGGAAGGCGTGGCGGGGTTGGGGTGGGGAGGCGCATAGGTCTTGCTGGCTGAGGATTGCTGTTTAGGGTAGGTAGGCACAGGGACACTTGAGCCATCAGGGGAGCTGGAGGGGTAGCCTACAAAGGGTCTATGGCTTTTACATACATATGGTAAAGTGCACATTTGTTGAGAGAAACCTCAAAATATTTGTTTTGACCACCTCTAGAATCTCTGCCATGAAACAAATAATTCACTAGAGACAACTTTGAAGAAACTGATCTACAAACTTCCCTGTTTTTTTTGGTGGCTTTTAGAAAAGCATAATTTATGGGACAAAATTGGGATGCCAAATTTTTCTTATACGTTCAGTCACACTTTTGTTTACTTTTCATGCAATAAATATGAAATTCTAATTTTCTTTTATTCTAAAGCTACTCATTTTCTCTCTCCATTTCTATACAAATATTTTCTTCAGCTTTTCTCAATTCAATTTTTAATCTGTTTTGTCATTTATTTGTGTAGATAGAATTCTCCTGATTGCTCTCTTCCTTGAGCATTTAAAACACTTGACCAGGGCTGGGCACAGTGGCTGACACCTGTAATCCCAGCACTTTGGGAGGCCGAGGGAGGCAGATAACCTGATGTCAGGGGTTTGAGACCAGCCTGACCAACATGGTGAAACCCCAACTCTACTAAAAATACAAAAATTAGCCAGGTGTCAGGGTATGTGCCTGTAGCCCCAGCTACTCAGGAGGCTGTGGCAGGAGAATCACTTGAACCTGGGAGGTGGAAGTTGCAGTGAGCCGAGATCACGCCACTGCACTCCAGCCTCGGTAACAGAGTGAGACTCTGTCTCAAAAAAGAAAAAAAACACACTTGACCAATAATTTGCCTTCAATTTCCATCTCCTTCTATCTCTGGTAAATGAATTAAGTGATCTGCTCGTTCAGTGGATATGTGTGAGGTGCCTGCTTTGGAAATTACTATTTCTTTTCCCTTTTTATTGAATTACATTGTTTTCTGCTTTGTTGACATTTGTATTAATCCATATCTACATTCTAGTATTCCCTTCTATTTCTTTGTTGTTGGGTATATTTAACAAAATACATTGGACCTGCAAACCACTTTTGCTTTTCATTTTTGTCTCTGCAGTTCCTGAAACATTTGAATAAAATCTTCTTGTAATAGCCTCCATTAACACCTGCTGCTGGCTGGGCATGGTGGCTCAAGCCTGTAATCCCAGAACTTTGGGAGGCCAAGGCAGGTGGATCACAAGGTCAGGAGTTCAAGACCAGCCTTGCCAAGATAGTGAAGCCCTGTCTCTACTAAAAATACAAAAAAATTAGCCGGGCATGGTGTCGGCAACTGTAATCCCAGCTACTTGGGAGGCTGAGGCAGAAAACTGTTGAACTTGGGAGGTGGAGGTTGCAGCAAGCCGAGATTACACCACTGCACTCCAGCCTGGGCAACACAGTGAGACTCCACCTCAAAAAAACAAACAAAAAGACAAAACAACAACAACAAAAATGCTGCTTTTCCAGGTTACTTGGAATTTTCTAATAGATTCCTAGTTCAAAGGTGAGAGTTGGGTAGAAACAGGTTTTTCTGGTAGGTTACAGGGATGCTGAGATTCTGAGCCCTGCGGCAGTCAAGCCATCATGGCCTGCCCAGCAATCCCCTCAGTGTGGGGAGAGACGCTCCCATTCTCCTGTGCTGTCTAGAAGTGACAGAGGTTGAGAAACACTGCTGTAGAGGACAGGAGACAGGCATGGGCATGCAGGGGAGGATGCAGCGGCCCTCACTGGGGCACCAGCTGCACTCTGGGGGTACACTCCCTTTTAATGAGGGTGAAGCTTACCTGGTGGAGGTCTCTCTTCATGTTTTCTGCTGCAGTTGGCCCAGCTTAGAAGCCCTCTCAGCCTCTTCACTAAGGAGCTGCAGTTGCTGTTCTTTTTGCCCCACATCTTCCAAGAGCTTCTTCATGCTGGATGTTTTCATGAAATCCAGCTCCCGCTGGGTGAGAGCTTCCTGGGTCACTCTATGTTTTAACGCCTTCAGCAGTTGAGCCTGTGGCAGGAAAAGACCAAAGGAAAGGAGGTGGCAGGGAGCCCTTTTTCCCAGCAGAAGGCAGGAGAGGTTGGACAACATTAATAACCATCCTCTACTCTGGGGCGCAGGGACACAACTACATGGTGTGTTCCTGGACTCTAGGAAATATGGCCCAATGATTTTGTCCTATGCTAGCAAGAGCACCAGGGTCTAGCCTAGCATGGCACTTACACTGTGAGCCCTGCAGTGACAGTCAGAGGGAAGCGGAACAGACATTGAATGCTAGGCATGTGATCACACCACTGTTCATCAGCGCCAGGGCAAATCGTTTGGTCTGTTAATACCCAGACTTGGTGAAAATATGTATGCTAGCTTGCTAACCAGATGATGGGGTCTAGCACAAAGAACATTCACACTGTCACGGAGCCTTTGTCAGGAGGTAGCCGTGGAAGTGTTTAACACCAAGGAGACAGGTCCATGCCATATGCACAATGAGCGAGGAAAGGAGGTTCTGATGTAGGCTCTGTTTTCACTTGCAAAAATCTGAGGAAGTCAGATTCTAGATGGTTAAAGAAAGATAAGGGTAGAAATGATTTGGTTCTGTTCCAAAGTTTTTCTAATAAGTATTATCCTAAGTACTAGATGGCCAACCCTTAATTACAATATTAATAATTATTATTCATAGTGGTAGGATAACTTTATAGTTTACCATGTTCTTGACATAATTAACTCATCTGATACAGAATCATAGAGGAATTAGGGTCCAAGATGAACAAATTAAATTTCATGCTTTAAATATGGCTAGCTTTCCCAGGCTGTTACTTAAACTCAGCTGTTCTCACTCTAAACCTAGAGTCTCCCTGCTTCATTCGTGCCCAGAGGGTTGGCAGTTAGGAACTGCTTAGGCTTAGGATGTCTTTATTTTGGTGCCAGCCCCTATCACACAGCAGTAACTTCTGAATGTGAGACACAGTGTGGATCATTGGGAAAGGACGGAGTCTTGCGTGGGAGATAATACTGCAGGCTGGGCCACACTCTGCTTGCCAAGGGTTGTCAACGGGAAGCATGCTTGCCCCATGGAAAACCTGTGTTCAAGGCAGAGGCCTAGATCACAGGATCCCAGGACGGCCTCTAGCAAAAAGATTCTCAGAGAAACAGGGACGGACAGACAGACACACACACACACACACACACACACACACACACAGGCATGCACGTGATAATGATCTTGTTTATGAGTACTGTTTTCTTATCTTAATCAAATATGAGTAAGAACAAAAGCCTTTAGGCCACTGCCCTTGGTTTTTGGGCTGGAGAGGAGGGGGAGAAGGGAAGCCCAGGTCCAGGCTGTCTTTTTCCTGGCTGTGCCATCTGCTTGGTTTCACACTGTGGTGCTCTGGTGACTGCTCCTAGCAGCCACAGTACCATGTCTGGTGGCCACGTTCAGCTTTGCAGAGTGAACTGCAAAGGGAGGGAGGAAGAGGCTCTGAGGCTGGGGTACATGGCTGTCCTGCTGCTTTCACATCCTCACGCTGTCGGCCTGCACCCTGGCCAGGGCCTGCTGAAAGCCAGGACCTGCTGACGGAATAAACCCACTTCTTGCTCTGCCATTAGTTTGATGTGCAAACATTCTTATTTACTTTCAATAAATTCCTGTAAACATCCCAAATACAATAAGACAGGAAATAGATTTCCTTTCCAGATTTTCAGTTTCACAAGCAGTATCTAAATTACTTTCCCATCCATCCTTCTTTCAAACTTCTGGTAGAAGGGAGCTCCTGCTAGTCACTGCTTTCATATTATTTTATTTAATTAATTTAGTTAGAGATGGAATCTTGCTCTGTCAACCCAGCCTGGAGTGCAGTGGTGCAATCTCAGCTCACTGCAACCTCTCAACCAATTTTCCTGCCTCAGTCTCCCAGGTAGCTGAGACTACAAGTGCCTGCCACCACGTCCGGCGATTTTTTTGTGTATTTTTTCTAGAGATTTGGTTTCATCATGTTGGCCAGGCTGGTCTCAAACTCCTGACCCTCAGATGATCTGCCATCTTGGCCTCCCAAAGTGCTAGAATTACAGCTGTGAGCCACTGTACCTCGTCTGCTTCCGTGCTTTTAATTCAGAAGAGGGTGACATATCAGAGTAAATACTTTCAGAAACAGGATGTGAAATTTTACAAATAGTTATCAATATGTGCTTTGGATTTAATTTGCCATAAAACAGATTCCTTGCTTATTATTTTGTGACTTCATTTTCCTCAGATAATCACGTATGAAACCCAAAGATATGCAGTATTTTGACAAAGCAGCCTCAAGCCTTTGGTGAAGCCTTTCCTCCATCTTTTCACTTCCTTCCCTTATGCTGAATTCTCTGATCTGTTCTTTCTTGCCCCATTTGCTTCTGCCCCATTTCTGTTTCTCCCAAGGTTCTGACATAGCCTGTTCCCAGGAAAAATTGCCAACTGTCAGATCATTCAGGATGGTTGGCCCTGACCCTGACACCAGTGCCACCCATGGCTGCAGTGACACCATGGCAGCTGCAGCCATGGAGGCCTGGGGCCAGCCACCCTGGAGACTGTCTGGGCCTCCCCCGCCAGAGTGTACCTTCTCTGACCTGCTCAGCTGGGCCTGGAAGCATGCCTGCTGCACAGCCAGCCTCCAGCGGCCCAGGCTCCTCACTTTGCACACCAGGGTGGCCAGGCTGCAATTGTCCCACTCCAGGGCCCACAGCTGTTCCTGCTAAGAAGGCTTATTTTCAGAAAAGGCTGCCCCCAACATTTTCCTGGGAAGGGCATGAACCCTAACATCAGAAACATGCCTTCTAGAAGATGACAAAATTGTGCAGTACGTCCCTGTGCCCCTTTAAAATGTCTGAAGCAATGCTTTCTCGGGGAAATCAGGCTGGAATGCTAACGGGGTGAATGATGGGGTTAGATACTGGGATGAAACACTGATATCCCATTGCTAAATGAGATCACATACTTTGGCTGGATTTTCTTTCATTCCTTCATCGGGGCTGGCAGAGACCCATTTTTTCTTTAGGTCCTTCATATTGTCAGTCCCTTCTGTTCTCACTTCACCGCTGAGCTCACACGCTTTCTGGATCAAATTAAGCTGATTCTCATCCAGCTTCTCCTGCAAATCGCAGACTCAAGTCAAGGAAGTAAAATGGATTTGGGTAGTGTGAAGGGCAGTTGAAGAAAAGCCATTTTGCCTTCTACAACTTTTGTGAGTAATTTCACATGAAGATATCAGCTACTCAAACAATTATTCTGTCACGCTAGTGGCCTGCGAGTGCTGTCTTTTATCCTCAGGGCTTCATTATCTGGGTGCCTGCACATCTTACATTGCGCCTTCCTTGTCAACATCAAGGCAAGCTGAGCCAGGAGGACAGTGGGAGGTCACAGGTAGAAAGCCTGCTGGCCAAACTGCCCCTGGTAAGAGTTACTTGGGAAGCTGAACCGAAGATTTTTGCTGCTAGGTTGACTCACAGCAGAATCTTACCAGACAAGATGCTATAGATAAGCCACTCTCGAGGAGCCTTGTTAAATGCAGATAAAGTGGAGGAGGGAATCAGGCTGGCTGCTTTCCTATTTAGGATCTAACAGAAACCTCATTAGGAAAGTTTCTGTTCTGAATGGCTTATGGCTAATAGCTTGTGGGGAAACAGCTTGATCAATGGTAAGTACAGCTGAAGACCCAGTGCTACGGACTTCCTTCCCTTCCCCCCACTCCCCAGATTCATATGTTGAAGCCCTAACCCACAATGTGACAGTATCTAGAGAGAGGATCTTTAGGGGATAATTAAGATTGAAATGAGGACATAAAGCTGGTGCCCAATTGCAATAATACTGGAGCCTTTAGGAAGACAGAGAGAGACCGACTTTTGTTTTTCTCCCTCTCTGCCATGTGAGGACATAGCGAGAAGGCAGCCACCTGCAAGCCAGGAAGCACGCCCTCAGCCAGAAGCAGACCACGCTGGCACCCTGATTTCAGACTTCTGGCTTCCAGAACTGTGAGAAGTCAGCTTTTTGTCGTTGAAGTTGTGTAGCCTGTTGTATTTTGTTGTGGCAGCCTGAGCAGACTAACACAGTGTCTTTGGGGCGAGAGGTAGGGGTAGGAGTGAGCTCTCACTTTTTTTTTTTTTTTAGGGAGGGAAGGAGGAAGGGAGGAAGGCAGGAAGGGAGGGAAGGAGGAAGGGAGGGAGGAAGGAAGGGATGAAGAAGGAAGGAAGGAAGGGAGGAAGGGGGGGGAAGGGAAGGAAGGAATTCAAGCAATGAGAGAGACATTGCCAACCTGGATCTAGAGGTTTACAAGTTGATTTCTTTTTTTGAGAGAAGAAAGAAAAAAAAATGAGTAAAGGAGAGAAAGAGGAAGAGAGAGAGGGAGGGTGAATGGAAATATTGCTTTACTCTGAAAAAAAAAATGGGTAATAATGGCCAATCAATGTTTCATTTAAACCTATGAGTAGGTGTGATATGGTATTGACAAGAATGTATATTTTATGTATTTGAAGTGGAGAGCTCTATAAATATTTATTAAGTTTACTTGTTCCGGATCTGAGTTCGAGTCCTTAATATCCTTATTAATTTTCTGTCTCATTGAGTCTAAGTCTCTATGTTAGGGTGTTAGGATCCTGGGTGTTAGGATCGTTAGCTCTTGTTGTTGTATTGATCCTTTTACCACTATATCTTTGTTGCTTTAAAATCTATTTTATCCGCTACGAGAATTGCAACTCCTGCTTTTTATTTATTTGTTTATTTACTTTTGCTCTCCATTTGGTTGGTAAATCTTTCTCCATTCCTTTGTTTTCAGTCTTTGTGTATCCTTGCATGTGAAACAGGTCTGGATGTAACATGCTGTTGGGTTTTGGCTGTGCCTTTTGATTGGGGGATTTAGTCGATTTAAATTTAGGGTTACTGCCATTTGATGTTAACTGGCTGTTTGATCCATTCGTTGATGAAAATTCTTCTTTATGTTGGTGCTCTTTACTTTTTGGTATATTTTTAGTAAGGCTAATACTGGTTGTTTCTTTCTGTATGTAATGCCTCTTTCAGAAGCTCTTGTAAAGCTGGCCTGGTGGTAATAAAATCTCTGAGTACTTGCTTGTTCATAAAAGATTTTTTTCCTTCAGTTGTGAAGCTTAGTTTGGCTGGATATGAAATTCTGGGCTGAAGGTTCTGTTCTTTGAGGATGTTGAATATTGGCCCCCACTCTCTTCTGGCTTGTAGAGTTTCTGCTGAGAGATCTGCTGTAAGTCTGATAGGCTTGCCTTTGTGGGTAACCTGACCTTTCTCCCTGGCTGCCCTTAGTATTTTCTCCTTCGTTTCAACCCTGGTGAATCTAACAATTATGTGCCTTGGGGTTGCTCTTCTTGAGGAATATCTTTGTGGTGTTCTCTGTATTACCTGGGGTTGAATGTTGACCTGCTTTGCTAGTTCAGGAAAATTTTCCTGAATAATGTCCTGAAGGGTATTTTCCATCTTGGATTCATTCTCTCCATCGCATTCAGGTACACCTATCAAACGTAAATTTGGTCTTTTCACATAGTCCCACATTTCTTGGAGACTTTGCTCATTCCTTTTTATCCTTTTTTCTCTAATCTTGTCTTCTTTCATTAAGTTGGACTTTGACCTCTGTTATCCTTTCTTCTGCTTGAACAATTCGAGTGTTTAAACCTGTGCATACGTCTCAGAGTTCCTGTATTGTATTCTTCAGTTCCATTAATTCACTCATATTCCTCTCTAAGTTGTCTATTCTCAATAGGATTTCGTTAAACCTTTTTTCAAAGTTCCTAGTTTCTTTACGTTGGGCTACAACATGTTCTTTTAACTCACAGAAGTTTCTTATTATCCATTCCTTGAAGAGTGATTCTGTCATTGGGATGCGCTGGTTCTCCGTCAAGCCTTGTTCCATTGTTGATGTGGAACTGTGATCATCTTTAGAGGGAAAGGCGTTCTGATTTTGAGTATTCTCAGCCTTTTTACGCTGGTTTCTTCCCATCCTTGTAAATTTATCCTCCTGTTGTCTTTGAAATTACCAACTTTCAGATTAGGTCCCTTGATTGGACGTCCAAGTTGTTAGTTCCCAGGGCCAGAATGGTGGCGTTAAGACTGATGGTGCTTTTCTGCCGAGGATTCTCCTGTCTGGCTTCCTTCTTGTGTCCGTAATAGGCGACTCTGCCTTCCCGGGGCTCCAAACCTTGGTCAGAAGGGGAACCAGTCTCGTTTACTCTGCGCCGAGAGCTGCCGTGCTGAGGTGCCGTCACAGCCGCTGCGCCGGTCTCAGGAGTCATGCTGGGGACCCGTGTGGGTCCTCCAAACCTTGGTCAGAAGGGGAGCCGGCCCTGTTTACTCTGCTCCGAGAGCTGCTACGCCGAGGTGCTGGTGAAGCCGCTGCGCCGGCCACAAGAGTCCCGCTGGCGGCCCGTGTGGGTCCTCCACTGGGGATCTTCTGCTCCGTGAGCGACCAGAATTTGTCTGAAAGTGTGGCGTCCTCTAGTTCTCTGCACTTTGACTGAGAGCTGCAATCCCAAGCTGTTATCAATCGGCCATCTTGGATTCTCCGTGAGCTCTCACTTCTAAACCATTTCCCTGAAGAGGAAGGCAGGAGGAGGGTGCCCATCTGGATGCCACAGAAGGAAGCTTGGCTCTGGCCACACAGGAGAAGCTTTAGCACCTTCATGGGACCCTGGAATATAATAGGGATTCCCTACTGTAGGAGGCTTGGTGGAACTACTTCAGCCTGGGAAACAAAGAATCTACTTTTTCACTAGGAATCTGGAGGAAGCTAAAAGGAACTGAAGACATTTCTCAACAATCTCACACCTGAAAGGTTTCTTAGCAAATTCTAGCCTTCACTGTCTGCTCATCCCTCTCCTACAGCACCAAACCCAATACATTTTGGTTTTGGTCCCTTAATATGTGTAAGCATTTACACTGAAAGTAAGAAAGAAATTCTTGCTGGAATGACCAGGCCAAGGTGAACACCAGTGGAAGCTCCTGTTAACCTAATAACCCTAGAGGCCACTCCGCAATCCCTGGGAAGAGACACAAGGACCTAAATGGGGCTGGCTTTGGGGTACATCCAATAGCCCGGAAGGGTTGGGGGAGGCTGTGGACTTGCGGGTGGTAGGTAGTACTGAAATTCACAGCGATAGGTCACCTGGGTCAGTCTCCCTGATGGCCCATTTTAGGTGTGGGGCACCTATCTTATGGCTGTGTAAACATCAGATGAAAGTGACTGGCTTCCACAGTGCTGCGGGCGCGTGCGCACCCATCACTTCTCTTCTGCAATGGGTGTTTGCTGACATTGAATGAGAGTGTTAGGCTAGCAGGCATTTTGAGGGTTGGGAAAAAATGCTGGAAGCTGATTCAAATTCTGGATGTACCCAGGGAGTTCTCCAGAGGCACTTGCTGCTACCTACATAAGGTCTGCCCTGGCGTAGGCACCCTACTCTGGAAAGTCACACTAATAGATAAAACAGTGGTAGAACCTGGGGAGATGGGGCATTTGGAGCAGCAGAACACCCTCTCCTCCCAGCAGCAATTAGACAGTGACAATGGCAACCATCAATAGAGGGTGAAAAATAGACTTCTATATTATCCTAAAATTCAGTGTCTATCATGGTTAATGACAACCCATTGCTGACTCTCTTTCTGCAGGGAAAGCTTAGAGCTAGAAAATTCTTGGGCCTAAGAATCTCTTGTTACCACAAAGCCCATTATTCTGTCATTGATCCCTGGGTGTGCAGCCACCATGGGAATCAGTTACACTCGGCTCCCCAATGGGTGGCCCAAGACACAGGACACTCACTTTTGTGTAAACAGGTCTCAACAAAGCTTGGACCAATGCTTCATATTCTTCTTGGACTTCTTTTCTAATCTGCTTCTTGAGATTCAGATTCACCTCTTCCAAGTCTGTGCGTTGGGCTCTCAGAGCAGTGACTTCCATGATCATATCATGACTGAGCTCTGCAACCTAGAAGCAGAGAAAATGTGTGTGTCTGTGTGTGTGAGAAAAACAATTCAGACTGTGTGTTTCCTGAAACAAATTCAGGAATTTCAAACTGCTACTATAAGATAGCTTCTTATAAATCAGTATTGAATTTCACTTCTGTTTTAAACCTAATGAAGAGAGTGAACATCCTGCTACATAAATGTGGGCAGAAGAATTTAAGGGTAATTCAAAAGTCCCAGAACAGTGCCAGACACATAGTGTGCTCAATAATTGGTTGGTGAATGAGTAACCCCAGAAAAGCCACTACGTAAGCCCTTTTCAGTTAGAGAAAAATATGTCTACTGTCTTGGCCTCCATATCCAAACTGGCCTTCCCCTGACACCTCAGCCCAAACATCCCTTTTTTTTTTTTGGAATGCACTTTAACTGGCATCAAAAGAAAAGGAACAACAACAAAACTCCTCAAAGTAACAACAAAAACAGAACAAAACAAAATCAGTACAAAATGACAAAAGTGACCAAAAAACTCAAGAAAAAAAATGCCCCCTAAGGAGGGTTTTGTACCAAAAGTAAAAGCACACTCCTGGGTTTTTCTGCAGTGGACCTTCATTGACGGGACCTCTACAGGTGACGCAAGCAAATGACACTAAGGCGTCCCATTGCTGGCTAACCCTGAGAGTGTGGGTGTGAGAAATGGAGAAGAGACCCTTTCTCATAGGAAATGACCTACCTGGCCAGCACTGTCTTCAGGTGGACGCTGGCCTGTTTGTGTAGCATCTAATTCCTGAGCAGGAGAAAGCAGTACACAACCAAACTCAAACATTCAGGCTTCCAGCCACGGCTCAGGTCAGTACAACACATTCTAAACACTTCCTGTGTGTGTTAATGGAGCCCCATTTTGAGAACCTTGGCTGTGCCTGGAGCCAAGACTGTGTGTTGTCCCACTGGACTTCAATGCCTAACACAGCCTCAAAAGACAACATCGACTTCCAGGTATCCACACTGAAGCTGAGAACTGAGTAATGGGAATAGGCCAAAATGTGGTGGCTGCAAGGCTCATTATTTGACATTATAATGCTTCATTTGGTGTTTTTGCTAGTCTTTTAGACTTCTGAACTTTTCTGAAGTATAAAGTAAAATAACGCTAAACCTCTGATGCAAACTACCTTCACAATAGCGTGTAACCCAGGCAGGAGTGCGACTCTTCCGTCCCACCAGTGGGCTCGTATTTTAAGGAAGTCTCATCAGTGAGACTGACTCATGACATGCATACTGAAGAGAACGTTTACTCAAGGATCCTGGCTTCTTTCCCAGACTAGGAACAGCACACGGTGGGTGCCTTGTGTTTGCCAAGGGTGGAAAGGTCAGCCCTTTTGCTGCTCACCTTTTGTATTCCCCACTGGAACCTCCAAAGCACATACGCTAGTGTGCAACTGAGAATACCAGAGCCCAAGAAAATGAGCCAATTAGAAAAGAAATTTGAGGGTACAGTTCACCCTCAATTCTGGCATAAGAACTGCTATATGCACATTAACCCCCTCGGTTTTATTCTTCTCTTCTGAGTGCCTCCTGGCCTCCCTGCGCATGCCCATTCTGTACTGTAGTTCTCGTCTCTCTGGGAACCTACTTGCTTTTTGTGGCTGAGCCTCTGCTTAGCATGACGCAACACATGCTCAAAGCACATGGAGTAGGTCTCAAAGTTGCTGCATTCTCTTGCCATCACATCACAACCCAGGGAAAGGAGGCAGGCCTCAAGGTGATCTCCCCTGAAAGTGATCTGAAAAGAAAGGCATGAGTCACAGCCACTCCAGCAGGGCAGCCTCATCATGCTGGGGCCTGGGGCACCCACTGTCTTGACTCACAGACTCATTTTTGTTTCTCCTACACATCCGAGCATGGGCTCAAGCCTTGCAAGCCTCTCTTTCAGGTCAGCTTTGAACATTTGTAGGGACACAAGGACAGTGGAGGCCCACATAGCATGTGTCAAAACATTGAAAGGTTGTAAATCAAACAAACAAACAATCAGGCTGGTCTCAAACTCCTGACCTCAGGTGATCTACCTGCCTTGGCCTCCCAAAGTGCTGGGATTATAGGGATGAGCCACTACTCTCAGTTCTATGCTGAAATGTGGTGACCTGGGGAGAGCTGGTCCCCAACCTATAGTTTACAGTGTGACCCCTTTCTCTTCCCAGCTCTAGCCTTACGTCATGCTGGGAGTTCTTTGCATGCCTGTGAGCAGATATCCTAGCTCACATATCCAAATGGCATCCACACTCCCACAGTTAACCCTTGGTCACTTCCAGGCCAGGAGTATGCACACTAGTGATGAGGTCCTCTCACTCTGGCGAAGGTGATCAGGGAAGAGGCTCATTCAGACCATGGACTCAGGGAATTCCAGGTCCCAGGTACTTAGGGCATGGTCTAAAATGAAGGCCAGGACTCTAAGAAGACATGTCCCTATGGCCCAGGGGATTTACCTTGTGGGGAAGGTCATGGCTGGAGAAAGGCCAGAAAGGGGCCCTCTGGGGGGATCTGGCAGGACCATCTCTTGGTCCGGTCCAAGGCCCACACAGATCATTCTCTAGGCAATTCCACTCATTCCCTTTCTCCAAGAGATTGGGCATGCTTTTTGAAGAGGTGGCAATTAGGGAACAGCCTATCCTTCCAAGGCAGGCTTAGATTTAGGTCCTAGAGAGAAATGGGAGCCAATATACGGAAGGCAGGACAGACCTAGCCAACTAGGACCTGCATATCTATGCAAGTGTGTTTGTCCCTCTGTGCATCAATGAGTGTGTCTATGTGTGTGCATCTTATCTGTGGGGATTGGGAGTGAGAAGGTTTATGGGGCCAAGTCTAAGACCTAGCCTACACTGTAACGTGAGTTTTATCTGTGACACTTCTGCGGTCAGGCTGGCTCTCGCTCCCTGGTCATCTGCCATTGAAGCCAGCCTGTCCTTTGAGCCTGGGGGATCCCCCTGGCTCTGATTTGCTTGTTCTGGAAGGCCCAGGGCACTGTCCTATCATTGCAACCCTAGTGCTCCACTGACTTCCAGGGAAAGCCTACCATGGGCTTGGCCAAGGTAAGTTATTGAGACAAACTAGCAGAGATGGCAAATAGCAATAAGACCAGCCCTGATGGAGTGAGGTCAGTGGCTCACTCACCATGGCTGGGGAGGGGAGACAGGATGCTAATTTGGAGGCAAGCTGGCAGTATCTATGACAAGATTTTACATGTTTGTGACTTTTGACCCCATAGTTCCTCTTCTAGGAATTTAGGAAATAAAAGTTGTCCACAAAAATAAATGTAAACAGATATTTTCTATATTTTTTCCAATAGAAAAGAAAAATGGAAACAACCTAAAGTGCCTCACAATAGAAACGAGTTGACTCCATCTGGCTCATAGACGTGATGAAATATTGAACAGCCATCATAAATGGACAAGTTTATTGACGAGGAAAGATGTTTATAACATACTGTCAAGTGGGGGAAAAACATGGTATAAAAAAGGTCATGGCAGAATAATCTTATTTTATAAAAAAAAAAAAAGTGTATTAGTTTGTTTTCATGCTGCTGATAAAGACATACCTGAGACTGGCCAATTTACAAAAGAAAGAGGTTTATGGACTTACAGTTCCGTGTGCCTAGTGAGGCCTCACAATCATGACAAAGGCAAGGAGGAGCAAGTCACGTCTTAACATCGATGGCAGCAGGTAAAGAGAGACCTTGTGTAGGGAAACTCCCATTTTTAAAACCATCAGATTTCATGAGACTCATTCACCATCACGAGAACAGTGCAGGAAAGACCCTATAATTCAATCACCTCCCATAACACGTGGGAATCATGGGAGTTAAAATTCAAGATGAGATTTGGATGGGGACAGAACCCAATCATATCAAAGCACATGAGTAGAGAAAGGTTACAAATCAAGTTTGGAAGAAAATATGTCAAAATAATTACAGTGGAGACCAGGCGCTGTGGCTCACATCTGTAATCCCAGCACTTTGGGAGGCCAAAGAGGGATTACTTGAGGCCAAGAAGTTGACATGAGCCTGGGCAACACAGTGAGACCCCATCTCTAGAAAAAAAAATAATACAAAAACTAGTTGGGCATGGTGGTGTGTGCCTGTAGTCCTAGCTACTCAGGGGTTGAGGTGGGAGGAGCACTTGAGCCCGGGAGTTTGAAGCTCAAGTGAGCTATGATCTTACCACTGCACTCCAGCCTGGGTGACTGCTTTTAAAAATAATAATAGTGGTTATCAATGAGTACTAAGATTACGAGTATATTTTCTACTACAGTGTAATAAAATGTATATACTATATAATTAAAATAACTGGCAAATATATGTAAAAATAAAATGCATATAGTAATCTAAAGGTAGCTGAACTTTTTAAAAGTCATCAACTATATCAGCTTGGCAGGATATGATGAAGATATGTGCAGTGGAGCAGCAGATGGAAACCTCTGCTCACATTGGATTTAATGAACAGTGGACAGGCAATGAGGGGCAGGAACTGTGTCTCCCACTCCCACTCTAGGGCCCTCCTCAAGGGGCTGCATTAGTGGGTGGGGTGAGGGCAGGATAACCTTCCCCTGTTACCCTTCTTGCCCCATTCAGTCTCTGGAGAGCGAACACCAGGACAGCCATGGTTTAGTTGCTTATACAAGGCAAAAGGAACTCAAGATTCTACCCCTGGACCTTGATCTACTGGTGAAAGCGCAAGGCTGCATGGGCTTGGTCATGACAAAGGAAGTACTTCCTGGTTTGACTGTAATGAAAGCCTGGAACCATGAGAAGTCACAAGACCCTACTGGAGGTCAGCAAGGTGTGGCTAGTGACTTCCTCTGAGCCCAGTGCTCAGAGCCAGCCACAGCAACTCAGTCTCTATCTGTCCTGGACATCAGCGCCTAGACATAAGTGTGCCAACGAGGCCTCCAACAGCTCTTATGCAGGGCAAACACTTCTCACAGTAATGCCACCATAGCCTCTGCAGTCACAGGATCCCAAACCCACAGAAACACACCAGTGGACCATGGTGGCCCTCTGCCATGCCCTCTGAGCCAATGTGATGTTTTGCCTAGCCAGCAGGAGGAGTCTCTGATGAGTCTGTATAACACCAAAGAGGTGGGAAAGGTAGGACTCTCCTTGAGCATCTCCAGAGGCCAGAGAAGTTCCATTGCTTCCTTTTCTCAGGGCTCTGCTGAGGCCTCAAGAAGTTGAGCTGAAAGAGCAGCTCAAGGGGAGAGAGGCTGGAAGCAGGGAAAGGGGGAAGGGTGCAGTCAGAGCACCTGCAGGGGACATGGGACAGGGAGCATGTCTGAGGAGGGCAGACAGGAAGCTAGGGGTGGCCAGTGATGGAGGAGTGCAGGGAGGCTCTCAGGCACCCTGTGCACTTGGCCTTCCAGAAGAAGCATAAGGAGCAACCTGTGTGGCTTCTGTGGGCTCAGCCTTCCTTGGGCTCTCGGGAAAATTTATTTCCTAAAAGTTGCTCTACCACCTGCCCCTGACTCCCTGGTCACTGTAAATGTCAGCTATGCTTGGTGACAAAATGCATTGTGAGTGGGTGCCATTGGCCAGCTTCTTCTCCAGGACCCTGGCTGGCATAAGAGTTGCAGAGTAGGCCTGGTGCAGTGGCTCATGCCTGTAATCCCAGCACTTTGAGAGGCCAAGGTGGGTGGCTCACGAGGTCAGAAGTTTGTGACCAGCTTGACCAACCTGGTGAAACCCGGTCTTGAACAAATATACAAAAATTAGCTTGGCGTGGTGGTGCCTGCCAGTAATCCCAGCTAGTAAGGAGGCTGAGGCAGGAGAATTGCTTGAACTTAGGAGGCGGAGGTTGCAGTGAGCTCAGATTGTATCACTGCACTCCAGCCTGGGCAACAGAGAGAGAATCTATCTCAACAACAACAAAAAAAGAGGATTGCTGGCAAGATGGCCAAATAGAAACAACTCCAGCATGCAGCTCTGGCTCAGATACTGCACTGTTCCCATGGTCTTCACAACCCATAGACCAGGAAATTCCCTCCAGTGCCTATAACATCAGTGCCCAGGGTTTCCAGCGCAAAACTGGGCGGCTGTATGGAAGGATACCGATCTAGATGCAGCAGTGTTGTTTTTTTTTTTCTTTCATACCCCAGTGGCACCTGGAATGCCAGTGAGACAGAACTGCTCACTCCCCTGAAAAAGGGGGCTGAAGCCAGGGAGCCAAGTGATCCGGCTCAGTGGACCCCTCCCCCACAAAGACAGGCAAGCTAAGATCCACTGGCTTGAAATTATTGCAGCAAGCACAGCGATATGAGCTCAACCTGGGACATTCGAGCTTGCTGGGGGAGGGTGTCCGCCATTGCTGAGGCTCCGATAGGTGGTTTTAATCTCACCTCTGTAAACAAAGTCACTGGGAAGTTTACACAGCGACTGGGTGGAGCCCTCAGCAGCTCAGAAAGGCCACTGCGGGCAGACTGTGTCACTAAACTCCCTCCTCACTGGGCAGGGTATCTCTGAAAAAAGACAGCGGCCTATCAGGGACTTATAAATAAAGCCCCCACCTTCCTGGGACAGAGTGCCTAGGAAAAGGAGCAGCTGTGGGTTCAGCTTCAGCAGACTTAAACGTCCCTGCCTGGCAGCTCTAAAGAAGGCAGTGGCTCTCCCAGCACAGCATTTGAATTCTGATAAGGGACAGACTGCGTCCTCAAGTGGCTCCCTAATCCCTGCATATCCTGACTGGGAGACACCTCCCAGCAGGGGCTGACAGACACCTCATACAGGAAAGCTGTGGCTGGCATCTGGTGGCTACCCTTCTGGAACAAAGCTACCAGAGGAAAGAACAGGCAGCAATCTTTGCTGTTCTGCAGCCCCTGCTGGTGATTCCCATGCAAGCAGGGTCTGGAGTGGACCTCTAGCAAACTCCAGCAGACCTGCAGCAGAGGGGCCTGACTGTTAGAAGAAAAACTAACAAACAGAAAGAAACAGCTTCAACATCAACAGAAAGGACATCCACTCAGAGACCCCATCCAAAGGTCACAAACTTCAAAGACCAAAAATAGATACATCCACAAAGATGGGAAGAAACCAGTGCAAAAAGGCTGAAAATTCCAAAAACCAGAATGCCTCTTCTCCTCCAAGGGATCACAATTCTTCACCAACAAGGGAACAAAACTGGATGGAAAATGAGTTTGACAAACTGAGAGAGTAGGCATCAGAAGGTGGGTTATAACAAACTTCTCTGAGCTAAACAAGCATGTTCTAACCCAATGCAAGGAAACTAAGAACCTTGAAGAAAGGTTTGATGAATTGCTAATGAGAATAACCAGCATGGAGAAGAACATAAATGACCTGATGGAGCTGAAAAACACAGCATGAGAACTTACTGAAGCATAAACAAGTTTCAATAGCCAAATCAATCAAGTAGAAAAAAGGATATCAGAGATTGAAGATCAACTCAATGAAATAAAGCAAGAAGGCAATATTAGAGAAAAAAGAGTGAAAAGAAATGAACAAAGCCTCCAAGAAATAGGAGATTATGTGAAAAGTACCTGAGAGTGACAAGGAGAATGAAACCACATTGGAGAACTCTCTTCAGGATATTATCCAGGAAAACTTGCCCAACCTAGCAAGACAGGCCAACATTCAAATTCAGGAAATACAGAGAACACCACAAAATACTCCTCGAGAAGAGCAACCTCAAGACACATAATTGTCAGATTCACCAGGGTTAAAAATAAAGGAAAAACTGCTAAGGGCAGCCAGAGAGAAAGATCAGGTTATCCACAAAGGGAAGCACATCGGACTCACAGCAGATCTCTCAGCAGAAACCTTACAAGCCAGAAGAGAGTGGGGGCCAATATTCAACCTTCTTAAACAAAAAAATTTTCAACCGAGAATTTCATATCCATCCAAACTAAGCTTCATAAGCTAAGGAGAAATAAAATGCTTTATGGACAAGCAACTGCTGAGAGATTCTGTCACTACCAGGCCTGCCTTACAAGAGCTCCTGAAGGAAGCACTAAGCATGGAAAGGAAAACTGGTACCAGCCACTGCAAAAACATACCAAACTGTAAAGACCATCAACACTATGAAGAAACTGCATCAACTAATGGGCAAAACAATCAGCTAGCATCATAATGGCAGAATCAAATTAATACTTAACAATGTTAACCTTAAAGTAAATGAGCTAAATGCCTCAATTAAAAGACACAGACTGGCAAATTGGATAGAGTCAAGACTCTTTGGTGTGCTACATTCAGACACATGCAAATACACACATAAGATCAAAATAGCGGCATGGAAGAAGATTTACCAAGCAAATAGCGAAAAAAAAAAAAAAAAGCAGAGGTTGCAATCCTAGTCTCTGATAAAACAGACTTTAAACCAACAAAGATCAAATGAGACAAAGAAGAGCACTACATAATGGTAAAGGAATCAATGCAACAAGAAAA